GCCTAGGTGCGTCAAGTGCCTAGGAGACCACGGCACCCCAGACTGCCCCCGGCCTAAAGATAAGGCACTCCTAGCGAGCTACGGGCCTCCCGCTTGCGTGCTGTGCCAAAAAGAAGGCCACACAGCCAACTACCTCGGCTGTCCCAACGCGCCCAAGCGCAGACCCACCAAACCGGCCCCTCAGGTCACCAGAAGACCACCCGTACCGACGGCTGCCTCCTTCCCACCTCTACGCCCCGCGTGGCAGAACCCTATGGCCCCCGCTTGGGCCCCTAACCCGCCTATCATGGCACCCAAACTAGCCGCACAGCCGGCTCCAATCCCTATCCCAGTCCTACCAACACCAGCGACCGGAAGTAACCCCCTGGACTCGCTGAGCCAACTCCTCCGAACCGTCAACATGGCGGAGGTTATGTATTTTGCCCAGCAATACGCTGAAGGCAACTTCTCCTCAAGACTACTACTCCTGAACCAATACCAGCACATAGTTGCTGCGTTATCTGTCTAGGGACCCAAAATGGATAATACACCCCTAAACAATAATAATAATAGCACCACCAGTCTCTCTGCTACGCGTAATAATGGCAGAGTCAAACCGCGATCGATTAATGTAGCATTCTACAACGCGAACGGGCTTAAAGAGCAACGCGACGAAATACGTATTTTCTTACGCGACCACCAAATCTACTATACTTCTCATTTAGGAGACGTTCCTGAAACCCGCGACAAGGGATCCGAACATCCCCAATTATAGAATAGTTAGGAACGATCGTGTCGGCGCCCCGGGCGGCGGCACACTTATATACTATAAAAAATCTCTCCATTGCGTACCGGTAGACACGCCCGCGCTCACGCATCTCGAGGCCTCCGTCTGTCAGCTGGCTTTAACCGGCCACTCTCCTATCACCATAGCATCAGTTTACCTCCCTTGCAGACCCACCGCAACAATATTGCATTCAGATTTTGAGGCCCTCTTCTCTATAGGAGGAGCCACCATCCTAGCTGGCGACTTCAACAGCAAGCACACCCGATGGAACTCGACACGTACCAACAGTCGAGGCACCGCACTCGACTCGCTATCCGACAGGCTCGACTTTGAAGTCGCTGCCCCCGTCGAACATACGCGCTTTCCTTACGTAGAGGGACACATATCGGATGTGCTTGACATTGCACTCGTCAAAAACATCAGTCTCTCCTTATGCGAACCGGAAGTGATACACGAGCTTCACTCCGATCACCGACCAGTTCTCCTCCGGCTAGGGCCTTCAGCAACAGCCGCTCCCCTAACCAAAACTGTCATCAGCTGGCATAAAATCAAATCTAAATTTAACGAACCTAATCCTCCACAACTAAAGTCAATCCCTAGAAGATATCCCACCGACTCGAATCGTAGATTGCTACGTAAATTGCAGCGTGAGGTCAAAACACGCATAGCAGACTCACGAAACGAACGATGGGATTCCACCCTAGCTTCAGTAAAACCATCCCACGTAGCCTTCTGGAAACTTCCCAAATCCCTCAAGGGTAACGGCATAACAACCATGCCGCCACTAGTCCGTCCGATAGGTACGCCAGCAATGCTGGACGAAGAGAAGGCCGAATGCCTGGCTGACAGCCTAGAGTCTCAATGCTCCCCCAGTCTGCTTCCGATCGACCCCGAACACCTCCGCAAGGTGAACGAAGAGGTAGAAAGGAAAGCCTTAGAGCCACTTCGCGATCCCGTTCCCCCAGTCACGTGCTCCGAACTAATAGACACCATCAATAAACTAAACTACGCCCGCGTAAAGCACCAGGCTCAGATGGTATCATCAATAAGGTGACCAAGCTCCTCCCTACTAGCGTCCTTCAGATACTAGTATTATTTTTACAACGCGGCCTTAACCGAAGGCTTCTTCCCATCCGAGTGGAAGGAAGCCGATGTCATAGGGTTCCTCAAACCCTCTAAACCCGCCACTCTCCCAACCTCATATCGTCCAATAAGTCTTCTCAAAACATTTGGGAAAATCTTTATGGACACCAAAGGGCTCCCCATCCCAGAGCAGTTTGGATTTAGAGCCAAACACTCATGTACCCATCAAGTGCACCGCATCACGAAGCACATATTAACCAAACGCCAACGTGGACTCAACACCGGTGCACTCTTCCTGGACGTGGCAAAAGCGTTCGACAAAGTCTGGCACAACGGGCTCGTATACAAGCTATACGGGTACGGAGTGTCCGACCGTCTCGTATGCATAATACGAGACTTCCTAAGTAATCGAACCTTTCGCTATCACGTCGAGGGCGTGTGTTCGACTACGCATCCCGTTCGAGCCGGGGTGCCCCAAGGGTCGGTGTTGGGACCAGTCTTGTTCACTCTCTACACCAATGACATGCCGCGTGTCAAAGATGTAGAACTTGCTCTTTTTTGCCGACGACACCTGTATTTATACCACAGGCAGAACACCCGAATTGATCCATCGACGCCTCCAAGCTGCGGCCATCACCATCGGTGACTGGTTTCGGCAATGGAGGATCGAAATCAATCCCGCCAAAAGCGCGGCAGTCCTTTTCGCGCACAAAAAGAACATACCCATTCCACCCCCCGTTAAACTCTTGGACAGCCCAGTACCATGGGTTAATAAAGTGAAATATCTAGGCGTCGTCCTCGACTCCCAGCTTAAATTCACCCAGCACGTGACCCAGGTCAGGAACCGGGCGGCCTTCGTACTCGGTCGCCTCTACCCGCTCCTCAATAAAACGTCAAAAATGTCCCTACGGAACAAGGTGACCTTATATAAGGCAGTAGTTCGCCCTATCATGACGTACGCGAGCCCCATCTTCGCCCACATTCCTCCGAAGCAAATCCACCGGCTTCAGGTGATTCAAAATCGATTCTTGCGCAGAGCCACGGGAACACCCTGGTTCATGCGCAATATCGACCTACATATCGATCTAGAATTGCCCACCATCGCGCAATTCCTGAAGTCGGCGTCGCGCCGATATTTCGATTCCGCCGCCGCGCATCCCAACCCACTTATCGTAGGTGCCGTCACCTACAGGCCCTTGCCGCTAAATATCTTCCGCCGCGATTACCGAAGACCGCGTCACGTTCTCGACTTCCCTGACGATGAGACGACTATCGCCATCGAAAGGATCAAAAAAGTCAAGAAACACATCAACACACACACCGCACTCACCGGCGAGTGCGGTAAACATATACTAGGTTCCGCCACGTACCTGGCAGGTTTTCCCCTATTAATGATAGAAGCGTTGCTGGTTTTCTTTCTTCCGCCACTTCTTCTCCCAGCGCCAACGCTCTCCGAAGTGGTAGTAATGCTAGCTCTAGTAATTCCCCCAGTCAGATAATAGCTACCGAGGTCCGGCCCTCTCGGGCACCCTCGAATCGGAATGCTAAACGCGTGCTGAGTGACAGCCCAAGCCGAGGTCCCCTCTCGGGGACCCTTGAGCCTGATCACTCCATGGAGCGCCCGCCAAAGCGCCCTAAGAGCTTGGCGGCCTCCCAAACCGGTAACAATAATAGCGTGACAGCCCGAGCCGAGGCTCCCCCGGGAGCCCTCGAGCTTAGTCACCATAACGCGTAATAATAGTACGCCGAGGTTCAGGCTAGGCGCCTCGTGCGCCAGGCCACCTCAAGTCCGTCGGATCTGTAAAGGCCCCTAAGGCCAACAGTGGCTCATCCAGACCAAAAAAAAAATCACCAGCAGATATTCAGTAGCCCTTGAGAGTGTTAACGCATCGATGTTGGGTCTATAATAAGATAGTGTAAGTACTAGATTACATCTAGCCTTAGATTACATCTTTTCTAATTAAACTGTTATGATGCGGTTGCCATAAGTTGAAAAATAAATAAAGGGCTCAAATATGATGTTGATTGAGATTCCATTCGTTGTTGAAACTTTAGGGTGGCACTTTGAATTATTTGAAAGATTTTCGTGCCTAGACTTACCGCTGCGGCTGGTAATAAAAGGGATGGTTTCTAGTTCTACTTTCACGCTCAAATATTAAATATAACTGTTCAACGAGGAAATGTACCTAGCGTTATTTACTTTTTATTATAATTTTATCACTTCTTTCAAGTGTTTTTTCTTCAAATAAATTAAATTTCTTATATTACCCGTAGACAAAAAAAACTTATTAAATACACAGGGCAACAAAATAAAGTGGATTTATTTTGGAAATTATTATTATCATTTATTTCAAGTGACTTAGCCTCATATACATCCACATTCAAAATAACATTTTATCATATTAAAAAAAGAAAACCAAAGAAAAAGAAATTATAAAGAAAGCTAAAGAAAATTTGTATGTCCTATTATACCTAAGTCAATATAACGACTACCATGGGTAATTGATATGCTAGGCATAAACATATGTTCAAAAACGCAGAATTTTAAACTAAATTTCAAAGTGATATTTGTTTCTTTTTTGCACGTGATGACAAAAATGAAGTCAGTAATGCGGAGCTACTCGTACATTATCCATGAGCTATGTGGGTTGTAATTTATTGACATAGTTACCAAGCATCGTTTTGATTGTCAATATAATTATGATTCTCCATTAGTTACCGCAAAACATTTGTTGAATATTCAGTGTTTTCATTAAGTACATTGGGGTTTAAAATAATATTTATGGTCTAGATTTGTAAAGCTGGCGTGCTCTTGATATAATTTTCTTTCATATTTTTTTGATTTAAGGGTTCAGTCGAGATGATGTTTCAAATGAAAGACTAAAGATTACTTATTTAGCTGTATTTAAGTCAAATTTAAAAATTAAAATAATATCAAGCTTCTTTATCACACTTCAATAATTACCATTGAATAATGCAGAAGAAAAATACCTCTGGCTAATAAATCGTTCAGTGCACGAAATATTGAATCAATATAAATGCTAGTTTCATAAATATCCACTGATACGTAAAAACGTTACAAATAACCCTAAATCGTGCATTAAGAAGAAACTCTGAAATAATTAATGCAGTTCATAAAACCGGTTCTTTAAACCGCGCTTTCCCTTTGAAGTGTAAGTGTGACGTCTGGCGGCGGTACCCAGTCGCGGGCGGTGTGCGTGCAGTGACAGTCCACCAGGGACGGACTCTCGGCACCATCGGAGTAATCGCTGCTGTTAGACCTCAGACTTCGTGACGGGTGCAAGTGCATATCTGTTTAAAGTAAAGGGCATTTTGGATTTTTTTTCGTATGAAAAGCTGGCAATCGAGGTGACGGTTCACCTGATGTTATACGATCCCCACCATCAAGGACATCTACACTACAACTCTTGAGAGGTTGCCGATGCGTAAACAACCTACCAACGGGTTACTTCGCACAACAAACGAAACACACCAGTGTAATACTTGGAGTTCGCACTGGCTTCTGTGAAGATGTGGTACCTCCCTGGGCGAGCTTGGTCATTCGTAAGGAGCTGTTACATGGCCTTACAGCAGAAGTACCTATTCAAAGTAAAATATACCTACGTATGTATCTTTGACAGTCAAAGACCAGAATTTTCTTTCAATTTAACCCGGCTTCAGTCACTTATCACACCAATCACTTATCACTTATCGGTACTTAATAAGCTTACCGGTTTTTCTGTAGACGACTCCATATCAGGAGGGTCAAATATATATTCGCTTATGGGAGTTGATTATTCGTTTGTTTTACCCAAAAGGATTAAAGAGAAGAGTAATCAAGTACTCTCTTATGATATTGATTAGGTCCCAAAAGATGCAACATAAGGAAAATTACCTCCTGTCCGGCTGAGATAGTCTCGAGTGACGTCATCGAGTTGGAGCACTTGTATGATTGGTGCCTGCGCTTTCGGCCGGGTTCTTCTTACTAAGCGTATCGCAAGGATTGTCGAACAGACAAACATTATAAGCAACAGTACCACGCCAAAAGATATACCCATGTCGCGCCTGGTGAAAACTAAAAGGTTTTTACACATTAGATCAATGGTCTATTTATTAGCATATTGTCCTTTTTAAATTCTATTATATATTTATTCTTTTTAAATACTTCAAATGTATATTGTACATATATACAATAAATTCAAGGATTCCATACTTAATCAATTTGCGCTAGTTGATATTGGGAGATTATATAGTAACAAACAAGTATTAATCTATATATAAAGCGTATCGTTACAACCGCGACGATAAATGAACACACATATAGAGTATAACTTTTTAAAATTGAATTAAACATTTACATTCTTTAAACATCAATATTTACTGAGTTATAAAATGTTCCAAAACAAACAATTTTAGAACACCCTTACGTATAAAACTGTAATGTAAAGTTCATTTGTAAAGGTCACAAAGCATATCAATGGGTTGAATGAATTTAAAAGACATAAAATATACTGTTAAGAAGTGTAATGCGAGGCTGTGGCAACGAATGAAAAAGTCTCTGAATGTATGAATCAGTCAGTTGTAGTTGTATAGGTGTTACAAATTTTGTTTCTTTTTTTATTTAATTCGTTTGACTCATCACGATATCTCTGGAACCATAAGGCGTAGAGTGTAGAGACTTGAAATTTGGTAGGAACATTCGGGTCAGCTAAGAACGAATTTTAAGAAATTCCACAAAACAACATTTGCCGGATCAGCTAGTAAACAATATAAGAATACTTAAATCCGTAAATTAACGCTTGTGGTTAGTTATAGGAGAATATGTTTGGATAATTTACTTTTATAGCATCATTGACGTCATTAGCAGAACTCCAGATGTCTGTCTAACAGAAGTCTGGCATAAAATAGAAGTGAATAATCATCTGTCTTGCATCTAGTGAATGCTGTAACTGTTTAATCCCTTAAGGTTTGTACCACTCCTCCAAACATAAGTAAGTAGCAGACGAACCATAAGACAAACCGCATTATTTTTTTTACTTAATTTAAGTAATAAGAAATAGAGAAATGTTTAACATACGTACATTCCCACCAAGGTGGTACGGCGGCACTCAGCAAAGTCTCAGTGGGTCTCAAAAGCAGGGCCGCAGAACAACCATATCGGTTACAGGCAGCTGCGCTGGCTTCATCGCCAGCTTTCAGCAATCCTAATTCTCCTCTAACGAGCCACTGCTCGTTTGCGTTTTGCATCAAAGCTAGGCTGTTGCCAACTTCTATCGATCTTTTCTGATCCAAGACCAAAGAAGTGTTGGTCGTCGACAAACGCCAAAGCGATAATTCATAATGCGTCGCATTTTCCACTAAAATATTTACAATTCAACTTGAATAATAATTTAACAGAGCGTAATAGATTTTAACAAGATCCTTTTAATTAGTTTGGATTTAATTGAACATGTTTTGTTTCCAAAATGATTTGTAGTTTAGGCAAAAACCAATAGACTAAATTCCAATCGATTAGAATCAGGAGTACAACAACTGGTGCTAACATATATTCAATTAAAACGGCAAAGAGTAGTTATGCTTATACCTGGTATGCACCTTATTTGAAATTCTTTATATTCAAATGCAAGATCACATCGTTGCGGCTGCGGAGGCTTCAAGTGGCCTACTTTGATGATCTTTGTGCACGACCTTTCTTGAGAAGCAATTCCATTCTCGGCCTCACAACTAACGTTTATAGAGTCCGAAAACGGTCCAGATAACTGATCTAGAGACAATGAGGCAGAGCCTGTAGTTAAGTGTTGAGAATCATATTCAGGCTGATGGATGTGCCAAAAATATGTATCGGGGACCGGTAAGCCTTTAACGTTGCAAGTAAGTGTTTCTTTAATAAGTGTGATGGCAGGCTTAATGCATTCCGGTGGATCTGTAATGTATTTTATGCTTGAATTGAAGAAATTTAAAAATTCTTATTATAGTAATTCATTTTATAAACATTTCTCAAAGAAATTTAAATTGTTTATAGTGCTAATCTTTGCACTTAAGATTGAACATTAAAATATGTAGAAAAAGTGCGAAAAGATTGTTATAGATTTTAATTTCTCAAAGAAGTTTACAGAATGATTATAAAATATTTCATAGGAACAGAAGACTAACTTTGGCGTTTTAATTAGTTGTTTACTAGTAAAATACTGGTATATAAAAGTAGGTATACTTTTGCAAGATGTTTAGAATTAAAAATAATAATGTAAAGGATCTCCAAACGTACATAGGACAATAATATTTATAGGATCAGCTCTGGTTTCACCGATTATATTTCTTGCCGCACATGCGTACTTGCCACTATGTTTGCGCGTCACCTCTTCTATTATTAATTCATGAGAATGGATGTTGTCACCCCAAATACCTCCAGTTTTGATATCTGCATCCTGTAATCAACTTACGACATAATTTGTTTAGTTAAACCGAAAACTAAATATTTTAATTCTTATCAAATTTAATTATTTTACTAAAATTACAGTTTTATTGGACACTTCAAAGTTGATTATATATTTATTAGATACATAGTTGGTTGTTTAATAGCTTACGTTGTAATACCACATAAACTTGTTTACTGGTGGATTCGCTTTAACCTGACACTTTAGATGTAAAGAATCGAGTTCCGCAATCTCATTTCGCTGTTTGTCACCAAGTTGCACAATTTCCACTAAAGGGGCAACTGTAAACAAGTATCACCATTAAAACATGTACATATTAACACTGCATTTTTATTAGGTTCATTAATGTGCTTTACATGCGATATAGATATAAGCAATAAATTTAAAACTTTTACATGTCACATTCAAGGTCACGACGTCTGATTTTGAATTTCGATCCGGTGGCATTATTGGATTGATCGCCTCGCATTTTAAAATCCGTTGATAGTCAGCAACGTTCGGGGTGAACTGGATTTGCGATACTGCAGCTTGAAGGGTTCCGTCCCAAGTCTAAAATTAATTATTATTATTGCGTACTAGTCAGATTTCTTAAGTTCATCTTATAAAAAAATGATACATACAGATTTAAAGATGAATTTTAGTTATCTATGCATCATGAAACGTGGCATACAATATAAATCGTACATTAGAACTAACCAGTAAGGAATACCTGATTTGTATGAGGTGCAAGACGCTTGTGGTCTAAATACCAAATTAAGTCTGGGATCGGATGGGAACCGTAAGCAATGCATTGAGCAACGGCTATCATCCCAGCATTGAGAGCTCCATTAGATGACCCTCGAATCCAATGAATTGACACTTTGTTGGCAGGCACTTAAACAAAATCTTTAATGCACAACTTGTATCAAATTCTTCATTTAACGTACTTTTCCCTTTGTGGTTATATTTTTAACTCAGAAACAGTTACTTTTTTTTTTTTTTAATTATTTGCAATCTTTATTGATCTAATATTTACAAGATTAAATCTATCTAAAATTACATATTATCTAATAAACCTAATCCTAACAGTTACTTACAGTATAACTCAATCCAAAGACTGGACTCTTGCGGTGGTACTAGTTGCGTATTGGTTGCTTTGCAATAGAGTTTATCAGCATTATCTCGAGAAAGAGGTAGGAAGAGCTCATTTTGCCTTACATTTGGTATATCAGTTATACTATCAGTAGCGTCAACTAATGATTCGCCTGAATACCAACTAATTTTTGGTGGCGGCCGACCTGCAAGTAAAAGATATAAATAAATAACTGTTTCAAAATATTCTCTATTTAACGATTATTTTATAAGAAAGTCAATTGCATGATTATAATAGAATTATTTTTTAAACAATCGAGAATAGAAAATTAATTTTCACGTCGATTTAAGTTCTACAAGTGAACTAAGCAATAAATTTTTTTTTTTGGCGATCTAGTCGATTTTTATGGATTTATGACCTCTCGTATGATTTAATTATTACTCTCGTACAATTAATTTTATTGATTGTATATTTCTATAGAGCTACAGGATGTACATATTACTTAAAATTAACAATAAATTATATTTATTGTTAAATATAACATAAATAATAATATTATCAATTGATATTAATATCAATATTGTGACAAAATAGTAATAATTAAAAATAACCAACCTCCTATTACAAGACAACTAAGCACCAAAGTGTCTCCTTCGTAATAAGGCCTCGTTTTATTTATAACTGTGTTTCCTAATTCATCTAGAAAGAATGGCTCACTCGGTAATACTAAAACAGTAAAATTAAGGTCATGGTCAGGAACCAAAATTCTTAAAATTTTTACTATTCACATTAAAATTAAATCTTACCTGTTACGGACAAGTTAACACCCACGTTTCTTGTAGGTGATAACAGAAATTCAACTCTACAATGGTATAGCGCTTGATCATTTTCTCTTAAAGCTGAGATGGTAAACGTTGTAGGACTTGCAGACATGTTAGCAATTATCCTACCGCTGGCATTGAAAACGCTGTTACACCATTCGATTCCCACACGGACATCGTAGCTGCGATTAAGTACATGAAAATATGAAAACCGTAATTTAAATTTTAAATTCATCTTTAATTGCTAACTCTACGAAGTAAAATTACGGTCGTGATTACAGTAAATCACTGCGAATTGACTCGGTGACATTTGTATAAAATAACAGTAATAATAATCCTAATCTAGTGTTGTACAAACTGTCAAGTACGATTAGCAGTACTCTACACACTAGTCAGCAGTCAATTCTCTTCACACTGAATACAAAAGAGCTTAAGATCAAACGATACGATTACGATTTTTTTTTTTTAACAATTACTTGAATGTTACCATGTTTCTGTAAAACAAATAGATTGTTTAAATAAGTGTTAACGATATATTTGTTTTGCACAAATGTTCGTACATATGTGTACGAATATATAAATGTACATAGAAAATAGGGTAAGAAATTTTCTGTACAGTTACCTTTAAAATCGATATATATATAAAAGAGAATGTATGTATGTATGATCACCTAATATTTAGCACACAAATAAACGGCGACAATAGCACTCCGACGAATATAGTTTAGTGGTGGATAGGTGGATAGGTGGCAGTGATTTTTATCTTTTGAACCATAGCATAAGTCGAATTGATACAAAATTTTGTATATGTGCATGTGGCACTATTGGAACACCAACTAATATATTTACACGGGTAACTGATAGATGAAGTTAGTGATGTTTAGTTAAAGTAATTAAATTTTAAATCATAGATCCAATTTATTTGAATCCCATTATGTATAACAAAACTCAATTGTACGATTATGTAGTGTGTTCCCGTGTTGGTAAACCGATAAAACGAAAAATATTGATTACCCAAGTGCTTTAGAATAACAAAATAATAAACATTTAAAAAATTATTTACGTATTAAAAATGGTAGATTTTTATAGGTGAAGCGAAGCGCACCGGCCACCAGCTAGTTATTTTATAAAATAATTTCTAAAGGTATATATTATATTAATGATTAATTAAGCAAGTGAGAAAGTTTTCACCTATAAATTGATTCATTGTCCTTATACCACACAAGGAGCATGAGTTCATCGTCATTTGAATCCGGTGTAGAGTCGCAAAAAAGCGTCGCGTTATCGTTTTCTAAAGCCTCTTGAAATATAACTGGACCTAAAACAAAAAAGTCTATTAAAACAACCTTACTTTATTCGCGCACGACCGTGGGGGAATTTGAGATGCACATATAAGCATATAAGTTTAAAATGCCAAATTGAACTAGGAGAATAATTTAGGAGGAATAATAATAAGAAGTTTGTATTATATAACTAAAACTATACTGCCTTAAATGACTATCAGAGGTGGGAAGCAAATACTTCTACTGAAGAAAAACTGCATTTTCTCTGCACTTACCTCGTTTTTATTAATTGATAATTAAAAAATTAGTATTTCAAAGGTGGTCTTAACGGTGAGGGGATGGGAGGGGGCGACATTTAACATATAGATATTGGTCGAAAGATTTTTCTTACGGGATGGTGGTAGCTTTTCTGAAACCAAGTCTATTTTCGATAAGTTAAAAATTAAAAAAATAACAAGGTAAAGCAAGGATATAAAATTAATATTTAAAGTAAGTCTCACCGTCAGCTCCAGCTACGAAGGCGATGACGGGAGAGATGATTATCATCAATAAAGTCAGCGCCTTGAAGACGCGCATTCTACGGTCCATCCATTCTACTGTCTTCTATATTCATAGCTTCGAAAACTTATTTGCGGTTTTATATTTGACCACACTCGAGTGTTGAGTGTTCTTGTATATTTCTTCTTGATCTCTGTGGCAACAAGAGAAGTATCAAGTTTTGTTACGTTCCATCATAACATACGTATTTTGTTTTAACACAACAAATGTATTTATGGGTTTCTAAACCGTATCCTAGAGCTTACTCTGCATACAACTCTAGGTACCTGAGGCCCAACGCAATTTGTAAGAAAAAGTTTGTTTCGCCTGTTTTTAGAATTTCACAGATTTCTCTACATTTTATAGGGTACTTAAAAATATGTCACATTGTGTGTCGCTTTCACATTTATGTTTGGAAGTCAGTAGGAAAAAGTTTAATGGAAATCTATTAAAGCTAATACGAGTTTATTTAAAGTTTTATGTGCCTAACCAACCCATATTTTATTATAAGTATTATGGTAAATAGTTAAACAAATATATTTATTTATATCTGTGATACTACCGTGAAGCGGAGGGTTGCCTTTTTATTATTAATGTATTTATTGATTTACACTTTATTGCATTTGCCTTAAATATGGGTTATAAAGGGCGAATTAAATGCCCTTTGTCATTCTCTCCCAGCTCCCTTTTACATGTATATTTTTTACTTGTTTATATTATAAAAATTTTATTTTTTTAAACCTCCTTATAATGCAAATTACTTTCAAGTTATTATTTTTAATTCTAGAAATGTTGTTAGACCTATTATGTAAATGAATTGATAGACACGATTCGACCAGTCCGGTGTGATTTTTTTGCAGATGCGTTTATTGTCGCCTTATTTGATTTTACCTAAGGTGTTTTTACCACAGGGTATAAATTACAGAGGCATAATTTGTTTTATCCTAAATTCAAATTCAAATTCAAAATATCTTTATTCACATAGACGCTTGCGCGTTCTTATAAAAAGTCAAATTTTACCAAGGGTTCGGAAAGTAGTTTCAGTTGAGAAGAAACCGGCAAGAAACTCAACAGTTCCTCTTTTTTAAAAAGGTGTCATGTGAAGTATAATAGCACCAATGGTTTGTTGTCACTGCCGGCTGTTTTAATTCTTTCTTCAATAAAGATTCTTTGTTCATCACCATAACATGAACTATTATTTTACACTCAATCAGTGTACTACGGAAGATTAGTATCTACTATGTTCATTACTTAATATTCTAGGTGAAGTGAGGACTTAATCAGATGTTTGTGTGTGTTTTAGTCCGTTTCAGATAGGAGTTCAGTTTTTACTGTGGTAGTGCCACAAAACAGTTTCGGTTACAAGAATGAGCAGCCTCCGAGGCGTCCGGGGAAGTACCACAGCCTCTCAGAAGATCAGCCGAAGTAGAAGTATTATACTTTCGCGTTTCGTCTGGTGAGACAACCCGCGACCACTTTTTTATGTTTTAAAAGCATCTGAAAGCCCTCAAGTGTTGTAGACGCTCATGGGCGTCAATCTTCACTTAACCGTCTGCTTGTTTGAAAATTTTTCACATAAAAATAGCGGCTGAGCCGACTCCAACAACATCTTTCAATATCTACAATTCACGCTTCAAACAGCGTTTTAACTAAATCAATTGAAGTCGAGTCCATACTTTTTTATAATAGGCAACGTCTCACCATTGCCCGATATAAAAACTTGAGTTTGGAGTAATGGTTCACAGTAATGTTTAGATGATGAAACAAATACCGGAACATCACCGACTCTACTCTGTGACTAATCGAGCATCCGCGATGGTTTTTGCTCGATGTAACGGTGTTCGAGATAATGTTTGGATCGTTTTAGGCGATTGAGAAAAAAAAGATAATGGTGGGATTTCTACATTTCAATATTTTAACATCCTTTTTTATTATCATGATTTATTTAGAATCATAAATTAATAAAAACTGTTAAACTGTCCTAAAATAGCACCAAAACGAATATTCTAGTCTTATTTCGTTTTATTCAGTAATATTTTATGCCATTAGTTATGTGAACAGTTTGGCTATTTTTAAAAGAGGGGAGTTTTTTCACTGGTTTAGAGCTTATATTACGCCATTAGTAGAAATAAATATTCGAAATTTGACAATAAATAAAATGAGTACAATAAATAACTTTAACACAACAACGGTTAAAATCAGTATATATTTTACGTCATGCCTTAAAACCATCGTACCAAATCGGCGTACCATATACAGATATTCTTTGTCGTTTGAATAGATAATCTAAGGTCTCGTCCGGTTCAATCTCGCTATTTTTAAAAGCTGTGTCGGCGATTTTTACGACAGCGTTATCAGATGATGCTGGATGAATTGTCTTTAACGGATGTTGTTTTTTGGTGTCGGTCATTGTGTTTTGTGCTGCAAACCGTAAGAGTCCTACCCTAATACCCTCTGTAGAGAGAACTACGACACACTGCGGTTTACGTTTATCTATGTGGGTATTTTTTGAGATGTTGAGAGATCACCACCGCCCATAGACTTCTCGAACTTCACCCGAGAGCTTGAAGATGCGTTGACAACCTTAAAATAAGTGATGTTCCGTGGCCTTAGCACTTTAAAAAGTTTCTTTATTGAAAACTTCACTACTAGTAAAAAACAAAGTCGTCCCGCCTGTCTGCGTGTCTGTCTATCTGTATGCTTAGATAGATGGTTTTTATTATTTATTAGATAGACTATTTAAGAGGAAGGTTTATATGTAAAATAAATTGCACCGCTGCGAAGCCGGGGCAGGTCGCTAGTTACATATAAAATGGTGTCGTTTAACTTGGTATCAGTGAAACTGGCATATTTCGTATGAATGAGGGAGGATTCTATCGTAGCAAATAGGGTTTTTCTTGACCACGTATTTGTTTTATAACCGTACCAAGTCCGTTCGTTGTCAAATTATAGCTTGTGCATGTGTAAAATAATACTGAATCGTACTCACATATAATAATTAAGTCGACTTTTGTGTTAAAATGTATGTTGACGTGCATTACACACATAGATCATGGTTACTGCTGAATTTAAAACGTAAATCAAATTTATTAAAAGTTTACCTTTTTTATCAGAACCAGGTAAGCTGGTAAATGGTAATGGCATTGAAAGCTAATTTACCAAGGAAATATTTTAGAAATGCTAAAATTCGAGTGAAACTATTACTTAAAAATTACCTTTTTTCTGAATTACTTCTACGTCTGTCTGAAATTTTGTCATGAAAATACAGCCGCGACATAGACTACCTTTATATATAAGTTAAGAATACCGAGATAAATAGGAGACGAGAATAAAGAGGTAGAGATGTATATTATATAAGAGAAGTAAGATGTGTATAGTAAGAAGTATATTATAAAATAAGAACATAGACAGTTACTGCAAACTTTTGAATTGAGCACATAAGACAAATTATATACATTTTGTAATAATATTTACATTGCAATTTCTAACTACCTAAAAATTCTATTTTGCAATTATTTTTATTTGAATTGAATAGCTTTTTGGCGTTTATATAAAAGCCATTTTCATTAAAAAAAAACTACTGCTTTTAAGTTAAAATAATATTCATAGTTGCGAAATGTCTAAGCATCACAGTGACAGCGATAATTTTCTTCCTGTAAGCTTTTTAGTTTACACGAAAAATGAAAAAACTCCCATATAGTACGCTAAACACTTACCGTCTTTTTGGTCGTTCTCCTATGGTAGTGTTCAATTAAGAACCGGTTGGTTCTTAAAATGTTGGCCAATTAAATAACACCGTTCACGTGTTTAACACAGCATATGTCACACAATTAATCGTATTACTTTAAACATAAAATCCTTAGGCACTCGCACGTAGATATTTTAGAAGTGTTTTTTTTATTCAGGGTGTGCGCACATTCCGAGCACGTTCGAAAGATACGGTGGAAAAGCGGACACGACTGTTTGGGCGAACAGTGTATTGCTTACTGAAGGTAAAACGGCGACCGCTCACTGGAAGCCTTATAGATGTTTTGTATTCACTAGATCCGTTTCCGCACTTTTCTTTCTACGCGAATATACATTGATTAGATTTAATAGTTTATTTTTTAATCGAATGAAATGGTTTCAGGAGATGGTAGCAAGAGCTTATGGCAACGTAGGGTCGCCGCCCATGGAAAAGACTACAGACGTTGCAGGATTTAATGCCAACCACTAAAAGTGTGGTCTTCTACATTACCACACAAAAGGAAAAAGTATATATTCTTCTACTTCTCGCTCCCTGGGTCGCGAAGCTGATGCCAAGCTGTTATTTTAGCTTTTCTTGAACTACCACAGAGATGTAAGCTCTTGATGTTGTACCAAATAAATACACTGTTCTACCGCTTACAAACTGTTGAAATGCCGACAAGCTCAAGCTAGTGGCGTTGCATTTTATTAATAGAGATTTGCGATTTTTAAGCTGCTTTTGACCCGGCTTGCACTACCTAATGAAAAAATTACTTTATTATATAAATATGTACATTATTTGACATTTCTACAGTGAAACTGATAGGTTTGGATATCGCAAGATTGTTATTGTTCTTATTTAATTGTTATTTTGTACTATCACATTTATTTTTACTCATTTTTTATAATATGTTACTGTAAGGTAAGGTATTAAATATGTCATATTATTATAGCTCAGCAAAAAAAACTAAAAAAAAAATGCATATATGGATTAGCCTTTTTATTGACCATTTTACTTGTTTTAAAAAGTTAAGGGGGGACAGGGTAATATGGGGTTGTTAACTGATTCCACTAAAACGCCCTTGGCACGTGGGGGTGGAGGGTGGGAGGTGCTGCGGATGTCCTACAGAATGTACCTGAATACATCGATGACCACGCTTCGGAGGGATATAACTTTTACTGTTAATGGGAATGTCCGTCCGAGGAACCACGACCACACAGAATGCGAATTGTCACACTTTTGCGTTTCATGTGGTAAGTGAGGTAACCGAACCCATTTTGTTAATATCACTTAATATCAGGTGAACCGCATATCAGCCATCTTC